CTCCCTGGCACGCACCGGATGTCTCTGCATCCGTCCACTGCTCCTCTGCGTGCCCCTTTGCCTTCTCCTCCAGAGTCCTTTCTTCCTGCACTTGCCGACCCAGAGTCGGACTCTCTTCGTGCTGCCAGTCCTACTATCACGCGTCTCCTTGCTACTGTCGTCACTGACCCCTCTTTTGAGTCCACTGCTGCTTCTGCACTTGTTGCTGAGCTCGTCGACTTTGCTGCTCGCTGTCGTGTAGACTACGCTGCCAGTCTTGTTGCTGAGTCTGCGTCTGTCTGTCCTCCGTCCGTCGGGGGTGAGTATGCTCTTGACACGGACGTCCTTGAGGACAGGCAGGAGGAGTTCCAGTGTCTTGCTGCTGCTTCACCTCATCTCGCGTCCGTACTACTTGCCCCTGAGGGAGACCCGGATGCACTAGACATCCCGACTCCGCGCTCTTACGCGGAGGCCGTAGAGGGTCCCTACTCCTCTTAGTGGCAGGCAGCTATGGATGCAGAGATGGCTTCCTGGAAGTCCACAGGCACCTACGTTGACGCGGTTCCCCCTCCTGGGGCGAACATCGTCAGTGGCATGTGGATCTTCAGGGTGAAGCGGCCGCCGGGCTCTCCACCTGTCTTCAAGGCGCGTTACGTGGCTCATGGCTTCAGTCAGCGGCAGGGAGTTGACTACTTTAAGACCTTCTCTCCCACCCCGAAGATGACCACTCTTCGGGTGCTGCTGCACATAGCCGCTCAGCGCGACTACGAGCTCCACTCTCTTGACTTCAGCACTGCTTTCTTGCAGGGTAGCCTGCACGAGGAGATCAGGCTGCGCTGTCCACCTGGCTTCATTGGGAGTTTCCCTCCTGGCACCCAGTGGAGCCTCCAACGGCCAGTCTACGGTCTCTGCCACGCACCGCGTGAGTGGCACGACACACTGAGGACTACGCTTGCGGCTCTTGGGTTTGCTCCCTCTTCTGCTGACCCGTCGTTGTTTCTGCGCACCGACACTTCTCTGCGGCCGTTCTACATCCTCGTGTACATCGTCGACTTGGTCTTTGCCACAGCGGACAATGCTGGACTCGCCTACGTGAAGTCCGAGCTGCAGAAGAGAAACAAGTGCACAGATCTGGGTGAACTGTGCAGCTACCTTGGCTTGCAGATCACTCGGGACTGAGCACGCCGCACCATTACCTTAACTCAGTCACACATGGTGCAGCAGGTCCTTTAGCGCTTCGGCTTCACGTACTCCTCGCCTCAGGCCACTCCTCTGTCTACTCGCCACTCGCTCTCAGCTCTGCCTTCGGATGAGTCCGTAGAGTCGAGTGGCCCATACCCAGAGCTTGTTGGCTGCCTCATGTACCTGATGACCTGCACACGGCCTGACCTTACATACCCTCTTAGCATTCTTGCACGCTATGTTGCTCCTGGGAGACACCGACCAGAGCACATGGCTGCAGCGAAGAGGGTGTTGCGCTACTTGTGCAGTACGTCGGGCATGGGGCTAGTGCTTGGAGGGCGGAGTCCAGTGGTCCTCACTGGGCACGCGGACGCTTCTTGGGCTGCCGACCAGGCTACTCAGCGGTCGTCACAGGGTTACACCTTCAGCCTTGGTTCCGGCTCTGTTTCGTGGCGGGCTACTCACTCGTCTTCTGTTCTCGGCTCCAGTTGTGAGGCTGAGATCTACGCAGGGGCCATGGCTGCTCAGGAGCTTCGCTGGCTCACCTACCTGCTGACTGACCTTGGAGAGCCGCCTCGTTCTCCTCCAGTGCTGTACGTAGACAACAAGGCCATGCTGGCCTTGTGTCGAGAGCAGCGCCTGGAGCACAGAATGAAGCACATTGCTCTCCGCTACTTTCTTGCTCGTGAGCTGCAGCAGCGTGGTCAGTTGCGGCTTGCGTACGTGGCCTCTGAGGCCAACACTGCTGATGTTTTCACCAAGGCACTTCCGCCTTGTGATCATCAGCGCTTCTGCACTCAGCAGGAACTTGTACTTGTCTTACCTCACTTGCTCACCTCTTGATCTTACTTGTACTCTTGCATATATATATATACCTGCTCTTGCTTGTTTAGTGTTATATATATATACATATGTGCACTCCAGCATGTGAACTGGCCTTGTGGCCTTGACCTTGTGCTCGGACTGTGTGGTGACTTTGTGATCCACCTTGAGCTTGCTTTGTTTTGCTTGACTGGTCTTGTGACCCCTTGTTCTCCCCCACTTTGCCTATGGGGGTGTGTCAGATATATATGACATAGCTATTGTAGGCTATAGTGGGGTAGCACATATGGGGTACAGCTTTCTAGGGTTTGTATTTGTACCCAATTTTCACTTAGTCATTTCATCCTCGTTCAACTCTTCTCAGGTGCTTCAACAGGGACGGGAGCAGCAGCAGCAGCAGCAGCAGTAGCAGCGATTGCAACAAATGAAGCATTAGCCCGAGCAGGGAGAGGAGCAGCAGCAGCAGCAGCACCAGTGGCAGCGGTTGCAGCAAATGAAGCATCAGCCCCAGCACGGAGAGGAGCAACAGCAGCGGCTGCTGCAGCAACAGCTGAAAGAGCAGGATCAGCAGGAGAGAAAGGAGGGGGAATAGCAGCATCGTAACCGTTCATCCCTGTTACAGGCATCTCCACCATCAATGATTCACATTTCAGCGCCATTGTGGGGCCCTGTGGTGGTGACACGTGTCACTCTCTTTGTCTTCCACGTGTCCAATGCTCTCGCCCTAATTAATGTTGCTCCTATGAGTATAATTCAATGCATGTTTTAATTGTGCTTTTTTTCGAATCGGAAAATACAATTGAACTACTATTGTTGTATTGGCGTGTACTGTACGGTTGCACTAGCGTGCATGTGTACATCCCTCTCAACTTGCTTCTACCCTCCCAATCTTGACTGTGCTGTTCCCTTTTCTCGCCTCAACTCTATGTAACGTTCCATTCTCTCCTGTGCCATTATTTTGTGCCGTAATTCCTTTCCTCCTTGCCACCCTCTTTATAAGGCTTTCTCTTTCAGCCACCATGCCCTTAGCCTCCTCCTCCAAACCCATTCATCTTTTATTTCATATGCCCCCTTCCCTTCCTTTTCCATCTTCAGATCTCCTTCTTGGATGGAGATTCCATTCGATCAAACCCAAAGCATCCTATGGCTCCTCTGGTGGAAACAATCGGTCCTAAGCACCTCTGTCGTGTCGAAACACCAAGTCAGAAGCGAAGCGAAGTATATCGAAGCACCGGCGAGTCAACCCTCGGAGGTTGAGCGGTTGCTAGAGGCTACCCCAAAGTCAAAGGTTAGCGACCTTTGACCTGACAAGTACCGCACGACAGCAAGGACACACAACTGACTCGCTACAGAGCAGTTGCCCGAGTCGTCACTGTATCGAACCGCAACAGCAACAGCAAAGTAGTTATAACCGTATCTCTTCGTATTCCTTGTACTCTTATATAATCCTGTATCTCCTTGCTTTAATCAACCTACTTTGCCCTCACATACTAGCGCAAGGTGGTTCACACCTCTTTATTAACGCTTCCGCTACTACACCAACTCTACCCAGAGTTCACCCCTGCAAAGATCCTGAGGGCTTTTTCAGCCCAACATCCTCCACGTTCCCCCCTCATTCCTCCCGTTCCCCCCTTCCCTTCCTGTTCCCTCGTTAGAATTTCTTCCTAGATGGAGAGGCCATTCTCTCGAACCTCCTCCCCTGCTGCTCCCTTTTCCCTCGCATCCTCTCGCCTTACATCCGCACCTCTGGCACCAGCAACAGATTGCTCGACACCAATGTATTATTTCTAGTGTCCTTTATGGGGGATCTTTCCTTCTTGTCTCGCTTACTTCATCAACGATGTTTTTGCGTTTGTGACATACAAGCTGAAGATGCCATCATGATGTATTTACTTATCGTACAAACCTGCTTTGCTGTGCGAAACTTGTACGAGATACACAATCATGCCGTGTAACTAGGGCTAATGATTAAGGACATTATGCTTGGTGCACAACACTTATTCCTTATGTAACTAAGAACATAAGGAATAAGTATTGTGCACCAAGCATAACGAGTTATCCCTTGTGTCCGTTCACAGTTCAGTTGAAACGTCAATGCAATTACCGTAAGATGTTTCCCCAAGAAGAACCTTCTCTCTTGTAATTTGCTGTTCTACAAAGCACTGCGGCAAAATATGAAATGCAGATGCAAAAGTGTAGACAAACGCAAGAATTAGGGTGGACAACCCTTTGCCTCAAGCATTTGCTGCCGCGTTATCCGCAATTTCCGTCGACGGACTTGACGCGCCTGTGTCAGGTGGTCAACCGGTTTCAACAGGCGTGACAAGTGGAGTTTCCACCTGCAATCTAAACTTCCAGCACGCCGTGACAATCGGTCGAGCATGTTGTGAATCGTGAATTGTGGCGTGATCCACTTTGCCCTCGCAGGTTGGGAAATTGCAGGAAATCGAATTCGCCAGCCTCATCTTTACAGTAACCAGCGTCGCGACGCTCGCCACTCCACCGTCGCAACTCCCTGGCCTCTGAAACACGGAGCAGCGAAGCTCACGGAGTTCACCTGGCGCGAAAGTACATTTCCCGCCAACCATGAGTTCCAACCATTTCCTGTGTGTACTTTGTTGAGCAAGGGCGAGCCGCGTTCTCACCACCCTCCTATAAAACCACCCGTCCCTCCCATCGTTATCATTAGTTCTCATATCAATAATCATTCTCTGTTCACTACGATTTCCTCTTCTTTTTTTCTCGTCATCCGCTCCTCTCGTTAGTTCGTTACGCTTCGAGAAACGTCGGATTTACAATGGGTTACACGATGCGAGGCATATCTTTGCTGCTGCTGCTTCTCGCGCTTTTCGTAGCGTCAGCCTCCGTCGCGCCTGGTAAGATCCCGCGACTTGTATCACGACCTTTTCACCAAAAACAGTTTCCTTCTCCCAGATGAGACTTCCGTTTCCTCGCACCTTCTCCCCTTTCGCGCAGTTTTCTTTTCTGATACTCTGAATTGGTTTTGACTCTGTAAGATGTCGCCCGATTCTTCCGCGTTTTCTCCTTCTCGCGCAGTTTTTGGAAGGACCTTATCTACTCGTCGCAGCCTCGCCCTCAAGGCCCTCTCGCTCGTGAGCTTTCCGGGATCGTCAACCATTACTCTGCTAGCAAATCCCGGAGACACTGGCGGAGATATCGGCGGAGATATCGGCGGAGATACCGGCAGTGGCGGCGAAATTGGGGGAGGGGGCGATGCGGGGGAAGGCGGAGAACCTGGCGGACCTGGCGGAGACGTCGGCGGCGATCAGGGCGGTCCTGAGGGCCCCCCTGGTGGCGACAACGGGGATACCGCCAGTGGCGGAGATCCCGGCAGTGGCGGCGACGTTGGGGGAGGCGAGGACGGCCCGCCACTGATCGGCGCTGGCGGAAAGGGAGGAAAGGGCGGAAAGGGAGGGAAAGGTGGAAAGGGCGGAAAGGGAGGAAAGGGCGGAAAGGGAGGGAAAGGGGGCAAGGGGGGAAAGGGAGGGAAACCTGGTAACCAGCAGGGTGGAGCTGGCGGAGAGCAGGGGGAAGCTGGCGGAGAGCAAGGGGGAGCTGGCGGAGAGCAGGGGGGATCTGGCGGACAGCAGGGAGGATCTGGTGGAGAGCAGGGCGGGGCTGTTGAGGGGCAGGGGGGGTCAGGGGGGGCGGATGGTAGCCAGACTGGGGGCATAACGAGCACCGGAAAGGGCGGAAAGGGAGGAAAGGCTGGGAAAGGCGGAAAGGGTGGGAAAGGAGGGAAAGGGAGCAAGGGGGGAAAGGGAGGGAAACCTGGTAACCAGCAGGGCGGACCTGGCGGAGAGCAAGGGGGATCTGGCGGAGAGCAAGGTGGGGCAGGCGGAGAGCAGGGGGGATCCGGCGGAGACCAGGGAGGACCCGGCGGAGAGCAGGGGGGATCTGGTGGAGGGGCTGGCGGGGAGCAGGGTGGGGCGGATGGTAGCCAGACTGGGGGCACAACGAGCACCGGAAAGGGCGGAAAGGCTGGGAGGGGCGGAAAGGGTGGGAAAGGAGGGAAAGGGGGCAAGGGTGGAAAGAAATAAAAGCTTTTGCAACACATACTAGGTTGTACCACTGTTTCTTCTTGTACCATTATTGCAGCCAAGTCCATATATGCTGTACTTTCCGAATCCTTCGTGTAAGAATGCCAAAGCAGCCCTAGTAACCTGTGGTACTTGTGTCAGACGTCAGCAGTATGGACGCAAGCTAAGATTTTTTTAGCCTTTTGCATTTCCGGCACAAGCATCAAACTCGACTGCAACTTCTATCATCATAGCCTTTTACCAACTCTTGCAGCTACTACGATGTTCTCGATGCGCACTTTCATTCTTGCGCCGTCACCAATCTGTCGCGACAAGAAACATCCTACCAAGCTCTTGTAGCTACGGCGAGATGGCAAGCAGTACCGTGCTACGAATTTCTATCTGACGGAAGATGTACGGAGTAGTGTCTGATCGGGATTCGGGAAGGCAGGCTTGGTTGGGTCAGTGTGCTGAAAAGTTTGGGGCGCGTTTTTGCAATGGCACAGCCTGTGTAACCCAGGCTGCTACCCACAGGGAATTACACGACGGAATGCGAAGCAGGTAACCTCGCAGGTCACATTGTCGGCTCATCCCAGCAGCGCCGGTTGCGAAGTGTGCGATTATTCAGCGAAGACGGGGATACCCCACACGTTGATCCAGCAATCATTCCATGCGGTTTAGAACGTTCTCGACACATCGCCGAAACGCTCTTCACCGCTTTGATTTGTGGAGCACCAGATCAAACCGTGGTGCGTGAGTTGAACAACGTGAGCGTGAGCGACATTCCCTAAGCGTCAAGCCGTATGACAGCTGCATCACCAATCAACAGTCACTTCGGTGATGGCTTGAAATTGGTGGTAGGATTTCTTATCCAGAACGCAACGACGATAAATCTTACTTAGCTCAGGTTGCTTTCTGAAATTTCACCATGATACGAGGCCTCGGTTACTGCACGGTGTGCGCATTCACGGCTTGTTAACCGCGTAGTATCACCGCGACGCGAGTGATCCGCATGGCCTTGTGATTGTGAATCCGCGACACCAACGTGTCGTTTTCCCGCCAGTAATGTCAGCGACATCTTTGGAGCGTCTTTCCCGTCGTTATTTTTGGCGAGTGCGAAATGTCGGTGTCTGCAGAGCTGGTTACCAGCATCGTCCTTTGGCTGCTGCTCAATCTTCTCGTTCCCCTGCTCTTCAAGGTACTACTTCCTTGACTTCTCAGATATATTTCTGACATCTCAGATGTTTTTTCTAGTTTTATTTAAGCGTCGTCTCGACTGACGACTGGTAAGCTGTTGTACTTTGGTTGCTGCTCAATCTCCGCGTTTCCTTTCCCCGCTCTTTAGGGTACTTACCAGACGTCTCAGATAAAAATCTCTTAGTGCAGTCTCTCAACCAGCGTTTAATAAGCTGCTTCGTTTTGGCCGCTGCTCACCTTCTCGTCCCCCTGCTCATTGAAGCTACAAAAGTCTGTTTCATTTGGCCGCGAGACGGATCCGATCCTCTTTTTCCCCCTTCTTTCTCTCTCCTTTTCACTCCCTTCGTTAGTAAGCTCATTCCCCCTGCACTGGCGCTGGCTGCGCGGAGGCAGGGGAAGGGGAGCCTCAGTTGCGTCAATGCGCCAATTCCCCACTACCCTTCTCCCATTCCCCCCCACTCCCCCCCACTCCCTGTCCGCCCTCCACCCTCCTCCTGCCCCTTGTCCTTTCCCTCAGCGCGCGGAGTTCTCTCTCCGCGCATCCCCCTTGCACTGGCGCTGGCTGCGCGGAGGCAGGAGGAGGGGGAGCCTCAAGCGGAAGCGCAGGGCAAGGGGAGGCGAATGCGATAGTCAAGGGGGAGGAAGTGCCCAAAGCGAATGTGCTAATAAAGGGGTCGGAGGAGGCTTGGATAGCAGCGGAGAGGAGGATTGGGGGGAGAGTGGTGGGAGAAGGGGAGGGGCGGATGGAGGGGAGATGAGGGGGAGTAAGGGAGAGGTAGGGGGAAACGATGGGAGAGCACAGGGCGAAAGGGAGCGAGAAGGGGTTACCCTCACAAGTGGGGTTACATCTAGCATAGGGTAAGTTATACACCTTCTAGTTGAGTATATATATAAAAATATATACGTATATGACCTCCCCTCCCGCCCTCTCTCCCTCCCTCCCTCCCTCCCTCCCTCCCTCCCTCCCTCCCTCCCTCCCTCCCTCCCTCCCTCCCTCCCTCCCTCCCTCCCGCCCTCCCTCCCTCCCTCCCTCCCTCCCTCCCTCCCTCCCTCCCTCCCTCCCTCCCACCCTCCCTCCCACCCTCCCTTCCTCCCTCCCTCCCTCCCTCCCTCCCTCCCTCCCTCCCTCCCTCCCTCCCTCCCTCCCTCCCTCCCTCCCTCCCTCCCTCCCTCCCTCCCTCCCTCCCTCCCTCCCTCCCTCCCGCCCACCACCAGGTACGGTCAGATCCACACCACGTGTTTCAACACGAGCACCTTCACATGCTTGAGGGCACCACAGAGTGTCATCCGTTTGCCTCCCACCCTCCCTTCTCCCCATCCCTCCTCCCTCCCTCGCATCACCAGGTACATTCAGGTCCACACCACGTGCTTCAACCCTTGGCTAGAGCGGCTTCGCATGCTGCCTGCTAAGTCAGCTACCAAGAGGTGGGGCATTGGGTTGGGCTGTAGTTGAAATGCTTGATTTTCTCGTTCACTTCAGGGTGTTTCTTGTTTTGGCAATCCTTTTCTGTTCTTCGTATTATGCCTAAACCTCAGCGCGCGAATAAAAACATAAACTGCACAAAGAGACAGAAAAAACCTTCCCTGGTTTTTCTTCATTTCGGGATGCTCCGTGCATGGTTCACATGGGGGGTCATTGCAACCTCTGTATCATTGCATGGTTCTTTGTGTCTCGTGTAACCCTCAGTACTCCAACCGAACATCGCCACATGCTAATATTTTCTCATGTGTCTCATCTCATCCCAGGATGCTCCGTGCATGGTTCACATGGGGGGTCATTGCAGCCTGCGTCGCCTTCCTATTGGCCTCTCTGGTGCGTGTGTGCATACAACCCTCCCTCATCTCTCCCCATTCGCATTCACATGGGGGGTCATTGCAGCCTGCGTCGCCTTCCTATTGGCCTCTCTGGTGCGTGTGTGCATACAACCCTCCCTCATCTCTCCCCATTCGCATTCACATGGGGGGTCATTGCAGCCTGCGTCGCCTTCCTATTGGCCTCTCTGGTGCGTGTGTGTGTGCACGAAACCCTCATTTTTTACCATTCTTATTTGCACGCGCTGGGACCGTCGAACGAATTCTGAGGCGCCTCAAACGTTCCCATTGTCATTGTGCGTAGGTGCCTCGAACGCTTCTATACGAGTGTATTCATGCCACTCTCAATGCAGCACGTATCGTATCGTATCGTATCGCATCGCCTTCATGTTGGCCCTCTGATTCGTGGATTGCATGCATCAAACTCGACAAATATTTATTTGTTTCATGCTTAGGTCCCCCCTCCCTTCCCTCCCTCCGTTCCCTCCCTTCCTTTCCCTCCCTTCCTTTCCCTCCCCAGGTTCTTCTATGGGACGGCCTTGTTGCTTCCCTCCTCGTCCCTCTCCTCCGCCACCTCTCCACCTCATCCCAGCACCTAGCGGAACAGCAGCGCTTTTACCCTCACACCCACTCTCACAACCACTCTCACTACAGTCACATCCCTTCTGCTGTAAACGCCTCTTTCGGACCTTCCTCTCCTGTCGTCGCCCTCTCTAGAGCAACGGGTGCTGCAGCGTCCCTTGCAGCACAGCAAGCGTCCCATGCAGCACAGCAAGCCGTCCAAGCAGCAGAGCCACACCCCGCTGCCCCAGCAGAACCAGCAACGTCCGCCACTCCTGCTGCGACCTCTTCCTCCCTGCATCTTCTACAGCCTGTGGTGAGTGAGTGAGTGAGTGAGAGAGTGAGTGAGTGAGTGAGTGCTGAGGAGGGTTGGCACTGGCATTGGCACTGAAAGCGTGCCTTGCAGCACAGCAAGCTGTCCAAGCAGCACAGCAAGCTGTCCAAGCAGCACAGCAAGCTGTCCAAGCAGCACAGCAAGCTGTCCAAGCAGCACAGCCACACCCCGCTGCCCCAGCAGAGCCAGATGCGCATGCTGCACGGCAAGCAAGCAACCGCCCCTGCCTCTGCTGCGACCCCACCATCCTCGCTTCACGTGCTACAGCCAGTGGTGGTGAGTGAGTGAGTGGGTGGGTGAGTGAGAGGCGCATGCTGCAAGGCAAGCAACCACCCCTGCCTCTTCCTCTGCCTCGACCCCATCGTCCTCGCTTCACGTGCTGCAGCCGGTGGTGAGTGAGTGAGTGGGTGAGTGAGTGGTGGTTGGGTGAGTGGGTGGATTGAGTGAGTGAGTGAGTGAGTGAGTGAGTGAATGTGTGAGTGAGTGAGTGTTGAGGGGGGCTAGTACTAGCACTGGCATTGCAAGCGTCCCATGCAGCACAGGCACAGCAAGCCTTCCCATTCCAAGCAGCAGAGCCACACCCCACTGCCCCAGCTGAGCCAGATGCGCATGCTGCACGGCAAGCAACCGCCCCTGCCTCTGCCTCTGCCTCTGCCTCGACCCGACCGTCCTCGCTTCACGTGCTACAGCCTGTGGTAAGTGAACGAGTGCGTCTGTGAGTGGGTGAGTAGGTGGTGAGTGAGTGACTTAATGATTGAATTGAGTGTTAGTGAGCTGGTGGGTGGGTGGTGAGAGCTGAGGACAAGTGGGTAATCCTTACCTGTCCTTACTTCCACCCCTCTTGTTCGTTGCTTCCTTCACTCCACCTCCCCATTTCTCACTCTCCTCTCACCACTTCACCCCCCTCTCCTTTTCCGCCCCCCTCTCCACCTCTCTCCCCCTCCCTCCCTCCCTCCCTCCCTGCTCTTTTCCTCCCCCGAACCGTTCCATACCTGGCCCCCACGTGGAGCAACAGCTGCCAGGTGTCAACATGCCATTGGCCGATCTCGGGTACCTCTTTATAGCCACGCTTATCAGCCTGGCGTGGCATGAGGCAGGGCACGCCGTAGCTGCTGCCGTGGGAGTGTAAGTGTCGTGGGAGTGTGTGTGTGTGTGTGTGTGTGTGTGTGTGTGTGTGTGTGGTGTATCTAGTGGTGTGATAATACATGCTAGCATAGGGGGCTGCTTATCAGCCTGGCGTGGCACGAAACAGGCCATTCTGTTGCTGCTGTTGTGTCAGTGTAAGTGTCATATGTGTGTGTGTGATCCAGGGTTTTTTAGGCGCCTCAAAAGTTGTCATATGCGCGTGTGATTCTGGGTTTTTTAGGCGCCTCAGAAGTTGTCATGTGCGCGTGTGATTCTGGGTTTCTTAGGCGCCTCAAAAGTTGTCATGTGCGCGTGTGATTCTGGGTTGAAGTGTGGCTGTGTGAGACGCCTCAAGTCAGCTTGTGCGTGGGAGTGTGGGGTTGTCCGCATGAGTGCAAGCTGTCATGCTTGAATGTCACACGAGTGTGGGAGGGAGTGCGAGTGCAGCATGATGTGGCATGCGTCCTCCTCGCCCTGCTCCTTAATCTGTTGTAACTCTTCCAATCCCTTCACCCCAACCCCCCCTCCCTCCCGCACATTTGTCCACCCCTGTCCGCTACCCACAGAGAGGGAGTGAGGGTGCAGCACGTGGCGTGCTCCTCCTCGCGCTGCTGCTCCCCAGTCTCTTCCCCCTGCCAACCCATTTCTTTCCCCACGTCTCGTCTCACTACAGGGAGGGCATGCTCCCCGGAGTCCACGTCGCCTTCCATCCCTCTTGTAGCTCACTTTCCTGTTTTTCCCTCCTCCATCCCTCCTCCCCCGCTCCCCATTCAGAGAGGGAGTGCGAGTGCAGCACGTGGCATGCTTCCTCCTCGCTCTGCTGCTCCCCGGAGCACACGTGGCCTTCCATCCCGCCGACTTCCACGCCCTGCCTCCCTTTCGCCTGCTGCGAATCCTCTCTGCCGGCATATGGCACAACATGGTGGTGAGTGCTGGCATATGGCACAACATGGTGGTGAGTGCTGGCATATGGCACAACATGGTGGTGAGTGCTGGCATATGGCACAACATGGTGGTGAGTGCTGGCATATGGCACAACATGGTGGTGAGTGCTGGCATATGGCACAACATGGTGGTGAGTGCTGGCATATGGCACAACATGGTGGTGAGTGCTGGCATATGGCACAACATGGTGGTGAGTGCTGGCATATGGCACAATATGGTGGTGAGTGCTGGCATATGGCACAACATGGTGGTGAGTGCTGGCATATGGCACAACATGATGGTGAGTGCTGGCATATGGCAAAACATGGTGGTGAGTGCTGGCACATGGCACAACATGGTGGTGAGTGCTGGCATATGGCACAACATGGTGGTGAGTGCTGGCATATGGCACAACATGGTGGTGAGTGCTGGCATATGGCACAACATGGTGGTGAGTGCTGGCATATGGCACAACATGGTGGTGAGTGCTGGCATATGGCACAACATGGTGGTGAGTGCTGGCATATGGCACAACATGGTGGTGAGTGCTGGCATATGGCACAACATGGTGGTGAGTGCTGGCATATGGCACAACATGGTGGTGAGTGCTGGCATATGGCACAACATGGTGGTGAGTGCTGGCATATGGCACAACATGGTGGTGAGTGCTGGCATATGGCACAACATGGTGGTGAGTGCTGGCATATGGCACAACATGGTGGTGAGTGCTGGCATATGGCACAACATGGTGGTGAGTGCTGGCATATGGCACAACATGGTGGTGAGTGCTGGCATATGGCACAACATGGTGGTGAGTGCTGGCATATGGCACAACATGGTGGTGAGTGCTGGCATATGGCACAACATGGTGGTGAGTGCTGGCATATGGCACAATATGGTGGTGAGTGCTGGCATATGGCACAACATGGTGGTGAGTGCTGGCATATGGCACAACATGGTGGTGAGTGCTGGCATATGGCACAACATGGTGGTGAGTGCTGGCATATGGCACAACATGGTGGTGAGTGCTGGCATATGGCACAACATGGTGGTGAGTGCTGGCATATGGCACAACATGGTGGTGAGTGCTGGCATATGGCACAACATGGTGGTGAGTGCTGGCATATGGCACAACATGGTGGTGAGTGCTGGCATATGGCACAACATGGTGGTGAGTGCTGGCATATGGCACAACATGGTGGTGAGTGCTGGCATATGGCACAACATGGTGGTGAGTGCTGGCATATGGCACAACATGGTGGTGAGTGCTGGCATATGGCACAACATGGTGGTGAGTGCTGGCATATGGCACAACATGGTGGTGAGTGCTGGCATATGGCACAACATGGTGGTGAGTGCTGGCATATGGCACAACATGGTGGTGAGTGCTGGCATATGGCACAACATGGTGGTGAGTGCTGGCATATGACACAACATGGTGGTGAGTGCTGGCATATGGCACAACATGGTGGTGAGTGCAGGCATATGGCACAACATGGTGGTGAGTGCTGGCATATGGCACAACATGGTGGTGAGTGCTGGCATATGGCACAACATGGTGGTGAGTGCTGGCATATGGCACAACATGGTGGTGAGTGCTGGCATATGGCACAACATGGTGGTGAGTGCTGGCATATGGCACAACGTGGTGGTGAGTGCTGGATGGCTATCCTTTCAGCCTCACGTCACATCATTGTGCCTCACATCTGCTCCCTCCTGTGAGCACATGTGGCCTTCCATCCCATCTTCTCTCTGCCTGCCTCCTGCCCGCCTGCTGAGAGTGCTTTCCACCGGCACAGTGGCGCAACATAGTGGTGAGTCTTGTGCATTGAGTGTCGAAGTAGAACAGGTGGGCTGCGGAGGCGCAACAGTGGCGCAACATGGTGGTGAGTCTTGTGCATTGAGTGTCGAAGTAGAACAGGTGGGCTGCGGAGGCGCAACAGTGGCGCAACATAGTGGTGAGTCTTGTGCATTTCTGCATGGCTTGGCACCACCCTCTCTTGTTTTCTCTCTTGTGAGTCTTCCAACCTTTTCACTTCCACTCCCTGCCTTCCCCTTGCCTGCTGAGAGTGCTTTCCGTCACCAGCTGGCGCAACATAGTGGTGAGTCTTGTGCATTTCTGCAATTTCTCCGTCTTGCGTCCCCACTCGTTCTGCAACTTCACCCTCACCCCGCTCGCCCCTCACCCTCTCTGTTCCCCTCCCCTCTCCCCTGCACCATCTCCCCACTCCCACCATTGCAGCTGTCTCTGCTGCTCCTCTCCTCTCCCCCTTTCTCCAAACCGCGCTCTTCCTTCCTCTCTACCCCATCTTATCCACCCTGTTCCCATCTTTCCCTACCCATCTGATCTGGCCCCACTCCCACCTATGCAGCTGTCTCTGCTCGCTCTGCTGCTCCTATCCTCTCCCCTCCAAGCGGTCCTCTTCCTTCCCCTCTACTCCCAGTCACCACCAGGCCTTAAGGTACGCCCCTCCCTGCATGTCCCCTTCCTCCCCTCTCCTCTTCTCTCATATCCCCTCCTTCCGTTTCCTTCCCATCCAAGCACTGCTCTTCTTCCGCTCTACTCCCAGTCCCCCCCCAGGCCTCAAGGTACGTCCCTCCCCGTATGTCCCATTTCCCAGTAAAGAACGACTCTGCGTTTGCTTCAAGCCGTGTGCCTCAAGCCGTGTAACTCCACCATGCCTTTCCCCCGTTTTAGTCACATATGACATCCGTGTGTGGTTTCTTCCCACCCCACCCCCAGGTTACATCCGTGCATCCGCTCTCCCCTCTCTTCAGTCACATTCGCCCAGGAGACTCCTTACTAGTACTTGACCACACTCCGCTTTCCTCTCCTGCCGACTACACTCACCTCCTCTCCCATCTCTCCCACCTCTCCCACGTCTCCTACCCTCTGCCTCCTTCGATCCCTCCCTCACCTCCTTCCCGTGGGTATTGCATTTCCCTCTCGGCCAATCACAAGCTGCCACCTGGATTCCTGACTCCTCCAGCCTTTCCAGCCAATGGTAGCATCCCACCAATAGCTTCATCTGGACCAATCCCCAGCTCTTTCCTAGAACCTTCCCACCAGCATCCTCATCATTCCAACATGGAGCCATTCCCACCACCTCGGCCAATCTCCTGTGATGCCTCGTTTCCTGGAACCATCCTTTTCCGGCAAGCTCCAGCTGGCGATGCGGAACCTTCCTTGCCGATTCCTGGCAGTGAACCGCACCAAGAGGAAGCTTCCGTTCAGTTTCCTGGTGATGGATCGCAGAACCAAGAAGAAGCTTCTCAGATGGTTCCTACTGCGGCATGTTTGCATCCGAGAGAAGTGGTGGAGGGAGGGAGGAGATGCGGATGGGGGTGGATGGGTGATGATGGGGAGGAGGAAGGGAAGGACGAGGGGAAGGAAGAAGGGAAGCAAGAGGGGAAGCAAGAGGGAAAACAAGAGGGGAAGCAGCAGCGTCAATGCGATAAGGTGAGTGTGAGAGATCATTGAGATGGATACCCTCAGAAAAAGCACTGAGAGATATTCTCTGCCTGCTCCCTAAATGCGCGTCTCTCCGTGCCTCTGAAGGACGTGCTCCTAAGAGCAAGCTCGTTATTTCGGGGGGAAAGGGGGGGGAATATGCTCTCCTCAGGACAAGCACTAGAGGACATGCATTTAGGGAGCAGCGTGACAAGGGGGGAGAAAATATGCTATCTGTTGTGTTTGAGTGGTTTGATTTTCTTTTCTTCTCTTCTCTTTTCTTTTCTTTTCTTTTCTTTCCTTTCCTTTTCTTTTCTTTTCTGGCCTGTATGTCATGCCAAAACCATCTTCTGCTCCTTTGTTGCTCTTTGTGCGGCTTCAAAACTCTTTCCTCTCGACATCATCCCATCATCCTCCCTTCCCTTCACCCTTTGCCCATGGCCAGGTTTCCACCTGCATGCATGGCCCCTGCACTTTTCCATCACCATCTGCTGCTCCTAGTACGGTTTCAGAAATCTTTCTTCTCTTTCTCCTTGTTTTGTCCTTCCCTCACGGCCAGGGATCCGTCTGCATGGCCCCAGTCCTTCCTCATCACCATCTGCTGCTCCTAGTGCAGTTTCAGCCCTCCCCCTACTCACCCTCCTCCTCCTCCACCTCTTCCTCCTTTTCCAGCTCCTCTCCTTCCTCCTCCACTTCCTCCACTCCCTCCTCTCTAGAGTTTGTGGGAACCATTGAGTCCTTTGCACAGGGCCTCTCTCTTTCTCCGTGGCATCCTCGCACACTCACTCTCCCTCTCACACTGCCTAACTTTGCACTGGAACACCGAAAATTGTTGCATGCACCAAGCCAGCCTGCTGCTGCTAGCATGCTGCAGAGAGAAGAGCAGCAGCAGCAGCGATGGCAACTAAGGAAACAGCAGCTGGAGCAGGGAAAGGAGCAGCAGCAGCACTGGCAGCAGGTGCTTCAGTCAGCAGGGAGAGGAGCAACAGCAGCAACTGCTGCAGCAACAGCAGAAAGAGCAGGATCAGCTGGAGAGCGAGAAAGGAGAAGAGCAGCATCATAACCGTTCATTTCTGTTAGCAGCATCGCCACCATCGATGGTTCAGATTTCAGCGCCATTGTGGGGCCCTGTGGTGGTGACACGTGTCGCTCTCTTTGTCTTCCACGTGTCCAATGCTCTCGCCCTCATCAACGCTGCTCCGGTGAGTATTATAAGTTACTTGTGATCAATTCAGACCAAAAATTGTAGCAGTATCGTCGCTTTTGCAAAAATCAAAGGATGTTGCGCTTAGGTGGCTGCGCTCCCTCATTCTCTACTGTTCCATTTCCTTTTCTCACCTCAACTTTTCATTTCCTTTACTGTTCTATTGGAGGTGATGTCGCTACAAGGAATCACCTCCAATGCCACTGTTGACTCTTGTATCTCCTTGTCTCCATTCCGTCCTCACTATAAAGTTTTCTTTCTCAACCAACACGCCCATAGCCTCTTCCTCCCATCCCATTCATCTATTTCGTCATCTGCCCACACCCCTTCCCCAACCTGTTACCGCTTGAATTTCCTCCTCAATTTCTTTCAAACCTCCTCCACCTGCTTCTCCCATTTCCCTCACATCCTCTCGCCTCACATCCACACCTCAGGCACCAACAACAAATCATTCGCCACCATCGTATTCTCACTAGTGTACTTTACGGTGGCTCTTTCCTTCTTCTCGTCTCCCTGACTCAATCTACTGCATCTATTTCTTCATTTCTACCCTCCCCTCTCTTCCCCTCTCCCCTCCTTCCTGTTCCCGTTCAGATTTTCTTCCTTGATGGAGAGGCCGTTCTCTCAGACTTCCTCCGCCTGGTTCTCCCTTTTCCCTCGCATCCTCTCTCCTCCCATCCTCTCTCCTCCCATCATCTGCACCTCCGTCACCAACAGCAAATCATTCGCCACCATCGTATCCTCACGAGTGTCCTTTATGGGGGCTCTTTCCTACTTTTCGTCTCCCTGGCTTCATCTATAATGTTTTCTCATACATGAACTGACCGGATTTCCTAGTCCCGACCCAAACATGTCATTACAATGTACCGCATGAGTGTATTCATCAGGCCCTCAGATTGGTTTGAGGGTATGCTGATGGATCAGCGTGCCCCTGCCAACCAGGTGTCCAAATCAGCGTTGGTGGTTTTCTTTATACTGATACTGTCAGTGTAATTTTTTTTCCTAAACTGAACCTGCAGTGTAAATAAACCAAAAAAGCAGAGCTGATGCAATAGTGCATGGATGCGTCCAAAGTTACCATTGTGACAAACAGCAGCACCAATACCGCATGCTGGCTGAATCTACCACTAACAAACTAGCTCATGTCATGTCTTCATCAGAAGAAACGCTCGCATCATCACCACTGCTACTGGCATCGTCATCACTCTCACTGCCATCGCCTGCAGAACCACACATGCCTTCGTCTAGGTCCTCCTCCTCCACCACCCGGCGGCCACTCCCCTTAACAAACTTGGCCTTGGCCCGCTCCTTCTCTGGCGCAGCTTGCTCCTTGCGCTTGCTGGGGCGCCTTTTCCTGGTGCTCCGCCAGATGTCCAGCACCTTATCCCACTCCATGTCGTAGTCGAGCAGACTCATTGCCAGCAAATCTCCCAGCTTGGCGTTGCAGAGACTCGTCCAGCGCCACGACTTGATCACATTCTGGCGGGGAAATCCGCGCTCGCACTCGACTGTGCTGAGAGGCAGAACAGCGACCGCAGCCCACAGACGGACTAAGTTGGGGTAGCTGGTCTGCCAGTCGTTGGTCTGCAAGATGGCCTTCAAACCTGCGTGAAAGGGCTGCTCTTCCTTGGGGGCAGTGGAGAGCACCGGCAGGAACGTGCGCAGCTCCACTCGTGCCGCACGCTTCTGGACACCTGCGAAACGGGTTGAGCACAACCAGGGTAGAAAGTCAAGCGCACAACATGGGAATAATGCAACCACGGAAACGGCAATGCATACACGCAGGTCAGTGGGAAGCTATTTCTTGCTCACCAGGCAAGATCGTGTCCCGGTTCTTGGCCTGAAACAGATGGACGAGGCCGTGCAGGTGTGCTCCTTGCACTCTGCGTCTCTTGCCTCGACGCCCCTTGGCCACGAGCGGGGCATGAAGAGCTTCGCCCCGTTCAAGCGCGTCAGGTCTCCCAAGCGCAGCTCGAGGTTGTACACCAGCTCGCGGGCAAATGAGCGGCAGCAGGTGTAGCAGCCTTGCATGTCCCCGCTGCTGGTGGTGTATCCCTTGACTGCCTCCTCGTGCAGCTGGAACTTGTGTACACGGGGCTGACCCTCCTTGTCCACCCCTTCCACAGTCACTTCACGGCAGTCGGGCGAGGCGTGCCGCGCGAGGAAAGCAGACAGCAGCTCGCTGGTCCCACCGCCAAAATGCTGGCCACAGTTTAGGTACCTCTGCTCCATGTAGATGATGGTCCGCCTCACCTAGGAGTGCACTGCAGTGAGGTCGACCTGTTGGTGGGGGGAGAATCGGTACACCGAAACAAAAGATAAGTACCTGGGAGAAGAAGAGAACTGCAAAACGGAACTCAACAACTCACCTGTCGCTTCTGGAATAGCAGGTTGAGCGCGTTGAGTGCCGTGTGCACATCTGCCAAGAAGAACAGGAAGTAATGAAACTTGAACGACGTTACTAAGTGGTACATTGTCTTGTCCGACTCCTCGAGCATAACGATGACAGCTGGCAGAACGCGTACGAATCGTGCGATTGCATCGCCGCAACTCAACCAGTGGACGCTGTGGATCCCCTGGACCTCGAGGTTGGTATGCGTGAACACTTCCTGCAACTCCTTGAACTTGCAGTTGGAGTTGCTGGATCTGCCGAGATCTTCCGCCACTGTTCGGATAACCGCGTCGATTATGCCAAGCTCGGGTAGTGCCTTAGCCACCTCCTTTGCAGCAAGCGCTTCCCTGCCACAGGTAGAAATGCACGGGTGGGGGTGTTAGAATTCGCACTGCGACATACCACATTGCACATCTCATACCGCAACAACACCACCACAGCAACAGTTTACCTGTGTGCGATGCAGTGAGAAGCCACCACGTGCGGGATCTCCAGTCGAAGACGCCCAACGAGGCCCGTGTCTATGCTTATCATCACAGGTGCCCCATCAGTGCTGATACCCGCCACCTTCTCGAGCGGCAGGCTAATACTGTCAAGGAATCCCATGATCTTAGCATAAAGAGATGCTGCATCACACTTCTCGACGGAGAGGTTAGTCAGAAACTCTGTGGTGACGGCATGCTCACGCAGAAAGGTTACAAACACAATCATGTGCTTCCCTTTGACGCAGTCCGTACTCTCGTGGCAGCTCTGACCAATGAATGGACTCCAATAAATGAATTCTCTCTGGCGCGCACGAAGGTATGCAGCTATTGCTGGGGTGATCTCTTCAAATCCGTACCTGCACGCGCATCAACGCATGTGGTTAGTGATAGCTTCACGTATATCACATCCCCCGACGATATGTACTAGAGCAGTGTCACTTACGTCGTGTAGTAGGCACCATAACTGTCGAACACTATACGTGTTGTTGTTGGGTAGGTTATAGTGGGTTAGCCTTTAGGGGGTACACAAAACTAGGGTTTGATACTTGTACTCCACTTTTTTATAGTTCACATCACTTCTCATTCTGACATGGTATTAGAGCTTAGGTTCTAGACCTAGGACTCACCTAAGGGCCCACCGTTAGAAGCGCCCTCGAGCGCCCCATCGTCCTAGCGCCCTCGAGCGCCGTTTGCCTAGTGCGCCCTCGTGCGCCTCGTCTTCTCGTGCTGCCTGTGCGCGGCTCGCTAGTGCCGCGCACGACCTTTTTTTTTTCGCGCGCGCCGCTCTCTAGCCTGCTGCTCCCTCAGGTGTTTCCCAGGTAGACCCGGTCGAGCCTGTCGAGGTAGCTGTTGACTCTGGTCTTGTGCAAGGTACTGAGCGTGCTGAGCCTGGGGGTGCTAGGTCTGGGGGCGCTGAGACTGGGGGTGCTGAGTCTGGGGGTGCGCAGACTATGGGTGCTGAGCCTGGAGGTGCTGCGACTGGGGGTGTTGCGCCTGACGGGACTGTGGCTGGGGGCTTTGAGACTGACCGTGCTGCGCCTGCTGGCGCTCCTTCCTCTCACCAGCTGCGTGAGTGGTACTCCCAGTGTTACAGCCTTCGTCATGGGGCTCCTAGAGCTGGGGGGTCTGCTGGAGTTGGGGCTAGTCGTCCTGCGGGTGCCGTGTCGTAGCCGGAGCCTCCCTCCCCTCAGCGGCTGCGTGAGTGGTACGCTCGGCGCTGCAGCCTCCGGAGAGGAGCTCCTGGTGTTGAGGTACCGCCCGCTGGAGACGCTACCACTGCTGGAGGTCCTAGAGCTCCTGCGGTGCCGCTGGTGCTGCTGGAGGTGCTGACGGTTCTGCTAGAGTTGCTGGAGGTACTGGAGGTGCGAGGTGCTATTGGAGCTGTTGGAGGTTCTAGTGGAGCTGCTGGAGGCACTGGAGGTGCTAGAGGTGCTGCTGGAGCTGCTGGAGGTTCTGCTGGAGCTGCTCAAGGCACTGGAGGTGCTAGAGGTGCTGCTGGAGGTTTTGCTAGAGCTGCTGGAGGTTCTGGTCCTGTCTCTGCTGCTGCTGGAGGCACTTCATGGCTATGGCCGTACTTCGTTCCACTCCTTTAGCAGGTTCTTGGTCAGCCGCCTCCTCCTAGTCCTCCCCCCTCCGTAGAGTGTCCTCCGCCTGTCCAGTCCCAGTCACAGCTTCCACTTGCCTCGACGCTTCCTGGTCCTCCTCCCTACACTGGTCCGACAGGCGGTCTTACAGAGCGTCGTGAGCCTGAGTCTCGTCCTGTGTCGCCTGCGTCCCGTCCGGTGTCACCTGTTTGTCTTGCTTGTGCTAGTTGCCATGTACCACATGAGCGTCCGCCACATGTCCCTTGCACACACCGGATCTCACTACGTCCTTCCACTGCTCCTCTGCGTGTTCCTCTTTAGTCTCCTCCCCCGTCCTCTCTTCCTGCCCTTGCTGACCTGGAGTGCGACTCCGTTCGTGCTGCCAGTCCTACTGACACGCGTCTCCTGGCCAATGTTGTCACTGACCCTTCCTTTGAGTCCACTGCTGCATCTGCCCTAGTTGCTGAGCTTGTCCACTTTGCTGCTCGCTGCCGTCTAGACTACGGTGCCAATCTTGTTGATGAGTCTGAGTGTGTTTGTCCTCCGTCCATTGGGGGTGAGTGTGCTCTAGGCACGAACGTCCTTGAGGACAGACAGGAGGACCTTGAGTGTCTTGCAGCCGCTGCGCCCCATCTCGTGTCCATGCTGATTGCCCATGAGGGAGACCCGGATGCACCAGACATCCCGACTCCTCGATCGTACGCTGAGGCGATCGAGGCTCCCTACTACTCACAGTGGCAGTCAGCCATGGACGCAGAGATGGCTTCGTGGAAGTCCACAGGCACCTACGTCGACGAGGTTCCCCCACCTGGGGCGAACATCGTCAGTGGCATGTGGATTTTTAGGGTGAAGCGGCCGCCAGGTTCACCGCCTGTCTTCAAGGCTCGTTACGTTGCTCGAAGCTTTAGTCAGCGAGAGGGAGTAGACTTCTTTCAGACCTTCTCCCCCACCCCAAAGATGACCACTCTTCGGGTACTACTGCACGTTGCTGCTCAGCGTGACTACGAGCTTCACTCTCTTGACTTCAGCACAACTTTCTTGCAGGGCAGTCTGCACGAGGAGATCTTGCTGCGCCGCCCTCCTGGCTTCACTGGGTCGTTTCCTCCTGGTACTCTGTGGAGCCTCCGACGGCCAGTCTATGGTCTCCGCCAGGCACCATGCTAGTGGCACGACACACTGAGGACTACTCTTGCGGCACTTGTGTTTGCTCCTTCTACTGCTCACCCGTCGCTGTTTCTATGCACTGACACTTCCTTGCCGTTGTTCTACATCCTCGTGTACGTCAACGACTTGGTCTTTGCCACTGCTGACACTGAGGCTCTCGCCCACGTGAAGTCGGAGCTGCAGAAGAGACACACG